TTCCTTAAACAGGCGGAGTCGGGCCCCACAGTCTGAAGACTCCAGGCTGCTAGAGGCTGCATAGCTCCCCTGGCAGTGGAGCTCACCTTGGGGGCTGCCACCACCAGCGACCAAAGGGTGGGAGGGTGGCCGTGAGGGCACCTCAGGTTGACTGTCCCAGGTTGGGCCCCTCCTCAGCTGTTGTCTGACAGGTCGACTCAGTGGAACCCCGCCTGGAGCCTAACGGGGCAGCAGGAAGGAGGTGCCCAGGGGGAAAGGAGCTGGAGGAGGCTTGAGTTGCAGAAGGAAAAACATTGTAATATGGAAAAAGAGCACATGGGGCGGGGGAGTATTTTTAAATGTGGTTTACAGGTAAATGACTTCTGCATGAAGGTCTGGAATTTCCCCTCCCCACATCCCACCTCCAACACCCCAGAATCTAGACTTCGTGGCGTCAGCACTGGAGGCGCCTGGTGCGGCAGACATCTGAGGGGCCGGCTCCCCCCAGCGGTGGTGGGAGCCTGAGCGCTGCCGGGGCAATGGGAGCCCAGCCACGCGGCGCCCGCCACTCCTGGGTGCGTGGGATGCCTTCTGGCTCTCCTGCCCCCATTTTCTAGCTCTTGGCAGGATGAATATAAACAACCGCTTGGGGCAACCGTACTGTTGCAGGGGTGGCTTGGCCACCAGGCTTCCGGGTGGGGCCCTCTGACATGCCGCTGGGGGGGCCAGGGAGCTGCAGAGGGCCAGCATGCTGGTGACCACAGGGCCCATGAGCTCTCACCGCAAACAGGGTGACCCCTTCCGCGGTGAGCTGCTCCCATCATTCCCAGTGCCTCCACCTCCCTCACTAATTGATGAGAAGGGGCCCAGAGGAACACTGGTAGCTCTCCTCCAGGGCCCAGGCGGACTCTGTTCCCCTCGCCCTGCACCTCACTTGTCTCTGCAGCCTGGGAACCAAGGCCAAGCCAGGGGGGCGGAAATGTCCACCTGCACACAGCCTTCGCCCGAGCAGGCCCAGTGACAGACATGCCCCCAACTTGCCCCTGACTGACATTACAAAAACTGATTCCTTCTGTCCTAGTTACAGCTGATCACCAGTGGGATGCAGGAGAAAAGAACTGCCCAGCACCCTCTCCCCACCCAACACCACCTCCCAGCCCCACTGACTGTGGGCAGGCCTCCTTTGGCTGCTAGCTCCCCTCCCTGTCCCCTCCTTTCTCACCTTCTTGTCCACCCCACACTCGGAGTCCTGTGAGCTCCACCCTTACCTCTTAGCAGTGTCTCATTCTTGGAAGAGAATATGGACACTCACAGAGGAGAAAGCACTTCCCAAGGCCATGTTTCCATTTGTTCAACAAACATTTATGTAAAGTTGATGCCACGCTGGGTGCCGGGCAGACAGACAGAAGCCCAGAGCAGCCCTACAAGGCGCTGCCAAAAAGCTGCACTCCGCAGTGAGGGGCCCTTGGCTTGGGCCCTCCCAAAACAATGAGAGAATGAGTAGGAGCTTGCCAGGCAGGAGTGGTGAGGCAACTCCTGGCTTTTGGTTTGCTTTCTTTCTTTTTTTTTTTAATGGCTGGGCGGTTGTTGTATTTTCAGTCTAAAGCAGGCACTACTTCAATCAGGCACTGATGTACACACTTTCACCAGGGATGCCCGTCTCTGACTGAGGTCCCTGTGCCTGCTCTCCATAGCAACCCTCTGCCAAAAATCACAGGGACCAGACCAAGAGCACCTGAGGTGTGCCCACAAATGGGACCAAGGCCAGGGACCACCAGTGACAACCAGCTGCAGTGCGCAACCTGCCCGTCACTGGCCCCAGAGGCCAGACCCCTCTCTGGCCCTACAGCCCCAGTTCCCAGCTCCATCTTGAGATGGGAAGTACGCATGCTGCCTGCAGGAAAAGTTTAGATGGGTTTTCTGAAACTGGCCCCTGGGTAAGTCTGACATCCAAGTCCCCTGGGACATGTGCTTAAGCTGCAGCTTCTTGCCTCCCCACATTCGAGTTTGAGAATGACACCCACAGGGCCTCTTGTCCCTTCATTTTCCAGTCCCGTGTGGGCCCAGACCTTCCCTCCCTTCTCCTTCCCCTGCCCTTAGTCCTCAGTCATTCATCCCTGTGCCCTGGCACCCAAAAGGGCAAGTGATAGGAAAACGCTTTTGAAATAAGGGAACCTGGCTCCATTCCTCATCCTCAAAAGAGTCTTGGGTGGGTGCCCCCTCTGTTCCTCAATTTTCCCTTGAAAAAATGAACTGACACCAGCCCTGCCCACCTCCTGGTCCCTCTTTGGTGATCCCTCAGGGCCACACAGGTACTCCTATGTCAGCTGCCGCTTCCTGAAGAAAACGATCAGGAATGTCAAGTGGGGGATCCAGATAAGGCTTCTAGGCGGTTCTTTGCACCATTCTTACAACTTTTCTCTGAGTTTTAAATTAATCCAAAATGAAAAATTAAAAATCAAAACTGTGAAAATTTAAAAAGAAAGTGAATCCTTTTTTAGTAAGCATCCGGAAATGCCCTAAGAATTAATCACTGAACTGTGGACAGACACCATGCATACCAGCGGCACAGACTAGCAGTGACTTTTAAAGGGTTTTTCCTCAACTGGGGAGCCCATAGCCCTCCCAACCTGGCCCCAACCTCAGCCCCGGCCGCCACCACCTTGGCCTCTGGAGGAGGATGTGTGGCTCTGGCTCAGCTGGCAGGGGAACACCTTGACGCCAGGCGCTAGCTGCTCACACCCTCGCAGCAGATGCTCCTGGGCTCAGCCTTCCTTCTGTACAGGTGACAAAACTGAGGCCTCCAGAGGCTGTGCGATGTGCTCAGGTTTGAACAGCTAGATGGTGGCTGAGATGGGGTTGAACCCAGTCTGACCTCCAAGCTGCCCTCTTACCACTAAGCCTAAAGGAGCCCCCCATCCCATCACACACCCTGCTCCTATTCATCTCCCTGCTCCACTTCATGAGTCCCGTGCCAACTCTCTGACCCTCAAAAGCAATGCTAACCTTTCCTGACCATCACTGTCAGGTGCATGGGTCCCCTGGGTGGGCTGCTCTTGCCCTGGCATCAGCCAGCTCTCCCAGGGCACAGCAGGAATGAAGGTAGAGTCCCCAATGGATCCCAACCACAGAGGCCCAAAGGCTCGGGTGGCATGTGGGTTGCAACTCAGAGCAGTGGAGATGTGGAAGGCAGCTCTCCTCTTCTTTGGCCATGGTACTGTCCCGTGCCAGTGTTACAGATGAGCTGGCGCCTTATGGGCTGTGGCTAAAAGTGAGATCCAGACCTGCTGCCACGGTCCCAGAGTCTGCCCTGCCAAGATACTAGGCAGCATTGGACTCTGGGGTCACTGCCCTCAGGGGATGCGGGCTCTGTCTGGAATCTGGAGTTGAGGACGAAGGGAGGTGAACAATTTTGATGCAGAGAGTAGCTCCCTACTGAGTGGCCTGTCAGCCCCGGCCGCCACCACCTTGGCCTCTGGCCACTGTCCCCAGCTAGACCGCCACTCCTTGGGGCCAGGCCTGTGTCCGATTTCTCTCCAGGCTCCCATGCCCAGCTCTGGGTGGAACATATAGGGGCTTAGGAAGAATTGGCTTTGGTCTTTGAGGAACAAGGGTGACGCTAGACTTAAACGATCCCAAAGGATGTGTGGGCCTTGACCTGGCAACTGCTGAGCTCCATCTCCTGCTTCCAAGCGCTCGTCCTCCAGGAAGCCTTCCCTCATCCTCCCAGCCAGGGCTGCTCCCCTGCTCCAGGTTCCCACAGCCCCTTGTGCTTATTCCACTTAGAGCCACAGCACCCAGTGTGGTCATGGGCCACCTGTCTTGATGACGTGTGAGTGTCCAGAGGGTGGAGATGAACAGATCTGGAGCCCCCGCCATGTGCCTGGACCTGTGCTGGGTGCCTTCCATCAGCTCCCCAAAGCTGACTTGAGCCTCCAGCCAGGCCAGGGCTTCTGAATGCCAGGCCAGGAAGGCACAAGGGCTCGGGCTAGGAACTGATGGAGAGATGGAGTACGGCTAGTGAGGTGGATCCGCTCCTTCCCATCCTGGGGTGACCCGGGGATGCTGAGGCAAAGAGTACAAGCACCAAGGCCAGCCAGCAAGCTCACCCTTGCTCTGGGCATCTAGGGCCTGGCCACTCACTTCTAAGTGGTGAGCAGGGCTCTGAGCTGCCCTGAATTTTTCAGATGAGGCAGTAGAGGCCCTGGGAAGACAGGACACCCCCCACCCCGAACCAAGTCTTTCCCCAGAGCTCTGTGTGAGCTGGTGCAGGGGACTGGGAACCCAGCCTCTACCCACTGTCCAGGCCTATCAGCCATGCACCTCTGCTCCCTGTCCCAGTCAGCCACCATGAGCAGGAGTCTAAAGAGGCGTGAGACCAAGGCAAGCCTGGGTCTGGGTGTCCGGGGCTTTGACCACTGCTGGGAGGGGTGTGAGGGGCCCTTTTTCAGGGTTCAAAAGTGTGGTCCTCAGATGTGGCTGCACAGCCTTCCACAAAGTCAAGGCTAGGTGTGAACAGCTCAGTGAGAACACAATTCCTACCACACCCCGGATGTCCCAAAGCTCAGGTACACCCACCACAGACCTCATCTGAGCCCCCAGCAACCCTGGGTGGGAGGCTGACTGACCCGGAGCTGCGCAGGTGCCCCCAGCTCAGAAGCAGCAGAGCGGAAGGGGAGCCGAGCTTTCAGTGTCTCCCAGGTGAGGTATCACTTTGACTCTCCAAAGAGGACAAGGCTCTTGGCTCCCCTACCCCCACCAAAACAATCCGGCCACAGAGCCCGCTTGCTGCAGATGCCATCGATAACACCCAGTGACACTGGCTTCGGCGCCGTCTGTCTGAGCAGCTACCCTCCTGGTGGCCCTCCACTGGCTCATCACAAGCAACTGGTGAGCCTGACCCTAGATCTCAGTTTTCTCTTCGATAAATTCGACACAGGCTGAACTATCTGATCTGAGATGCCACATTCTTTGGCTGCGATCAACTCTCAGAGCACCCTAGCCCCAGGCCATTTACTTACACTCCACCCCCTCTTCTCCAGAGTGAGGACAGCAGGACCAGGCACCCATCTCTGCCCCTCTCGGTCAGTGTCTTTGCTCACAGCGGAAACCAGAAAACCAGCAGCACTGCCTTCCAGCGCAAGCCTGGGAGGGATGATACTGGAGCGGGCGAGGACTTTGGAAGAGGACACTGAGGTCCATAATTGTCCCTGTCACTGGGCTGGGTACCGGGCCGCGCCGACGGCGATTCGGCAGCCCTACCTGACTCAGGTGCCCAGCTCCCTGGGTAGGCGGAGGGTCGCGCGGGCGCGGGCTCCCTCGTGCGGGCAGCGCCCAGGCGGGCCGGGCCGGGGCAGCGGGCGCGGGCGCGGGCGCGGCGAGGAGCGCGCGGGGCGGCGGGGAGGCGCGGACTGGGCTCCGCCCGCCAGGGGACAAACAGGTTTTCTCCGGCGCCGGAGCCGCGCCCCTCGCCCCTCCCCTCGGCCGGCCCCCTTCCCCGGCCCTCTCCTGGGGTAGGTAGACGCGCCGGGCGCATTCCGCGCATTCCCCCGCCAGCGTCCACGCCCCGCCGGGCTGCTGGGGAAATGAAGGCCCGGGCTTCACGCGCCGAGCCCGCAGCGAGCCCCGGGCTGGGAGGCCTCTGCCGCGCGAAGGGCCCCGGTTGCCTCGCTGGGCCCCTGTCCATGCCCGACGTGATCTGGCCCTGGCTCGTGGCCAACGACTTCCACAGATGCTACGGGTTAATTCTGTAGAGAACTTCTGTTCCTAGATCCATTTGACAGATGGAGATCCCAGACAGGGGCGGGAGGGGGCCGGGGGCTGGTGGCTGAGATCCTGCAGGAAGTCCACACTCGCCTGCTTCCACTTTCTGAGTACATCCCAAGGCCCATCTCCTTGGGGCGTTTGCTCCTGGCACTCAGACCCCCTAGAATGTCCTTTGTCCCCTTGTCTGGCTGGCTAGTGGACTTTCGGTCATTCTTCAGATCCTCTCCTGACTGCACCGGCCTCCCAGGCCAGCAGCCCACTTCCCAGCTCCCTCTGACGGCAGCAATCCACCTAGCAGCCATCACCCTTTGTTGTTTTAGAGGGTGAGCTCCCGGAGGGTTGGAGGGGATTTACAGAAGGCGGGCGTTGAGGGGTGGGTGAAACTCTGGAAGCTGTCCTCTCCTTTCCCTTCCTGGGTTCCATCAGGTAGGGAGGAGGTGACCCTGTGTCTGCATGAATACTTGTGTGGGGGATGAGGGAATTGTATACAAAGTCACTTCAGTTCATCTCGGTCTCCTGCCAATCAGCATTTTTCTGCTTCCAATCTGGTGGCCAGCATCTAATGCCTTCCCGCCTCCCGCTTTGGGCTGCTGGTGGCTGTGGATTTGGCTTGCATCCTAGCTCCTAAACATAGTAGATGGCCTCTCTGGGGCCACCTCCCCGTGAAGGGCCCCTATCTAAAAGAGGTAGAATGTAGAGGACACAGTGATGGACTTGACATAGGTGTGAAGCCACCAGTGGGGAAGGGAAAGCGGGCCCCAGAGCCCTAAGTCTGCGTGGGTCAGCTAGAGCACAAACGAGTGGCATCCAAAGCCGGTGGCCACTTAGCAAGAACGTCCAGGGCTGGGCTGCCGTGCCCTTGGGCCTCGAGCTCTTCCCATGTCCCAGGTGATTCAGCCCCTGCCCAGGCGAGATCTGCCATGACTGCGTCAGCCAAAGGACCCAGCCTTTCTTCGCCTCCTCCCTTCCTGCCCGGCTGCCAGGCCCTGCAGCTGATCTCGCCTGCAAACGAGTTTGACTTGAAGGGTAACTGCCCTGCCCTGCCCTACCCTGCCCTGCCCTGCCCACCTGTTCACTGCCCCAACAGAACCCCCTGCCCCTGCCAGGGCCACCCCCAGCCACCTCAGCCAGGCTTTAAGGCCGCTGCCAACCTCATCAGCCTCCTTGCCCTCAGGTGCCTGGCCCCAGACACACCAAGTGTTCTTATGCCATCTAGACCCTGCACAAGATATTCCCTTGGTGGCAACCTCCCACCCATTCTCGACCACAACACTGGTTCCTTCATGAACTTCCCCTTGGCCTAGAACTTGAGGGCCAAGACCTTAGAGGATGCTGGCTGCCCCCTGCTGGGCCTGAGCTTGGCCCAGGCCCTCTCTACTCTCAGTTTCTCTTGTGGCTTGGCCCCCGCATCCACCTCCGAGGTTGGCCAGCCACCCAGGCTCTGGCAGAGTCCTGCTGAAGACCCCCAGATGGAGTAACCTCCTCACTGACAAGCAGCCCTCCCAGGCCCTGCTATGAGGGTGAGGTGCTGCCTCTACATAGGGTGGACTTGAGGGTGGGGCCAGGCTAAGGTGCCTGGGTAGGCAAGAGGCCTGGAAGGTAGCAGCAGGAGTACTCAGCTGGTGACCCTTATCCTTGGGGGGCCAGAGTCCATGAGCAGGCAGTAGAGACAGATTCTCTGGGAGGCCAGGTTAAAGCAGGCAGATGAGTAGGGGGACAGGTGGCTGGTTGGAAAAAACTGGCCAGCAGTGCTCCTAAGTTCCAGGGAGGCCCCATTCTGATGTCCAGGGCTGGGAACAGAACTGAGGGAAGCTGGTGTAGCTGAAACATTCCCAGGCTAGGGAGGGGGGACTATGGGTGGGGCCCAGAAAAATGTCAGGCCCCAAAGCCAACCCAGGCAGAGTGTCCCCCCGCTAGGGTTGGGGGTGTGGGAACTGGAGATGAACAACTGACCCAAACCTTGCCTTTGTGCAAATGGGAAAACAGAGGCCCAGAGAGGGATTGTATCAAGCTGGGGCCACATAGCCAGTCTGCGGTAGAGCTGAAACAGGTCTCCAGTAGCTCTGACGGAACCCCCACCCAGCCAAGGTACTCAGACTCACATGTGGGGAGAGCGAGGCTCCTGTTTGACCCTAATTCCTTTTTTCCCTCCCTCCTTTAGGGGCCCGCCCTGCCATCTCATCCTCCTAAGCTTTTCAACCAGTTTCTACTTGCTGGGTGACCCAGCCAGCTCCAAGCAGGGTGAGTCCCCTGGGGTCAGGGGTCTACAGGTGTGGCTGCATCTAAAATGACCCTTGTCCACTCCCTGCCATGTCCCATCCCTACAGAGCCCCGAATCTGAGTCTGTAATCAGCTCTCCAGGTTGCTGGGAGCTGGTCCAACCCCTCAGTGTATTGTGAGACCCCACCTGCACAGTCTTGCCTTTGCCCCCACCTCCCCCTCAGCCCCAGGCCCACACACCATCCAGCCCTCAGCCTCCACTCCCAGCTAAGGGGCTGGTGCCCTCCCTGCCATGAATGCATGGCTCCAATTGACCCCTTCAGACCTCCTGTCCCCGCACACTGCCAACCCCACCCCACCCAGAGACCAGTCAGTCTCACGGAGAAGGTGGACCAGTTCAGTTCCAAGGGGCAGAATCCATACCTGGGGATTTCTTGCTCCTGTGGCCAGCTGGCCCCACTGGGAGCAAGGAGGCCATGCAGGCAGGTCTCCCTGGGCCAAGCTGACATGTCCCACCCCGGCAGCCAGGACTCCCACTGCGTTTTGGATGTGCTACTTTGAATAAGCCCAGGGAACAGCTGGCGGTCACTCTTGGCCTGTGTGACCTGATGCCTCAGAATGCTCTGAAGTAGCCCCAGGCCAGGCCTGCAGAGCCGAGCGAGCAATCCAGCCAAGGCCTCGCTAGCAGATAATCCCCACATGCCCTGAAGAATGGCTTTTTGCTGCTCTAAAAACCATCCACAGATCGGAAAAAGAATGTTCTAATTGGAAAACCTCCCCGCCATGGTTTTCCGGAGTTTTAGTACAGTTGGCCAGCGATGAGGCTCCCGGATGAGGAGGAAGGGAGGTCATGAGGAGGAGACGGTGGGCTCCCTGCCCAGCACCCCCTCATCCCCAAAGCTCAGCCAAGCACTCCTGGCAAGGGGCCCTGATGAGGGTCTGGGCCTGTCAGCAGCCTGGGGAGGCTGGAGGCTGCCTGGCCCTGCTGGGTGCCCCTCCCCTGAGCTGGGCCCAAGCCTGGCCCCCAGAAACCCTGTTACTGTCCCAGAAGCAGCTTGGGCTCCTGGGACCCTCTTGCAGGACTGGTGCCCACTGGGCATTTGAGCACAGGCCCAGAAGAGGAATGGTGTGGAAGCCACCACCCGCTCAAGAAAAGGCAGGCCAGAGTCGGTGTTGGGGTCTGGGTGGCACCCCCAGATCTGACTGGGTCCCTGTCCAGGTGAGAGAGGGAGCTCACACTCAGGGGCCCTGCTGAGCCTGGCTAAGCCACTGGCTAGTGGGGCAGATGTCACAAGCAACCTGAGGGTCTGTCCAGCTCCAAGAGGTGCTGATTCGTTCCTGTTGGTTCAGCACTGCCCTTGCACTTGGGAAGTGGACATTCCCACCCGGGAAAGGGAAATTCAGTGTATTCCTGAAACCCCTTCACATAGAAGAGCCAGGTTCCTGTGATTGACCTCTTGCAGAACATGCGTATCTCTATTAGTCTTTCTGGAAACCTCCGAGGGTGTTTAGCTCCCTTCAGTTCCTCAAGGGGAGCAGCCTTTGGGAAACTGGAGGGGCCAACTGTTCACAAGCTGCCTTCTCACCCATCTGAACAGGAACAGAGAGCTGCTGGCTGGGGTCCCCCTTGATGGAAACTCACATCTTCTCAGCACAGAGGAAAGGGGCAGGCCCTCATCAGAATGGATCAGAGCAGCCCGGATGGGGGGTGTGCACCTGGCCCTTGTCCACTCCACTTGGCCCCAGTCACCTGTACTTGGGGATGGTGAACTCAACCCAATGGCTCTAGGCTCCCTGGCATTGTGTGCTCCATCCCTCCCCTTCCTCCCCCACCCGCCCCCTTGAGACCAGCACAGTCTCTAGAGCTCCACTGGCCTCGTGTGGCTATTTAAATGTAAATTAATTACAATAAAATAAAATAAAATAAAATTACATTGAAAATCCAGTTCCTCAGTCATAATAGTCACATTTTAAGAGCTCGACAGACCTGTGTGGCGGGCAGCTCCTGTAAAGAATGTTTCCGTCGTGGCAGAAAGTTCTACTGGAGAGTGCTGCTGTAGCTGAAATCAGGTTCCCTCCACTAAGCAAGGTCCCCCTGCGCCCCACCCTGGCGAGGTGCTTCCTTTCCCAACACCCCACATACCTCTGCATAGATCGGTCTGCCTTTGGGTAAAATCCTCTCCTTGGAGGCTTAGGCCAAGTGGCTAAAGCAGCATCTAACATTTGGGCAAGTGTTGGCATGGGGCTGTTCTTTGCCACGCAGACCCCACTGGGTGTGAGAGAGTGTCCTGGGAGGTAGAGCGGTGGGGCTGTGACTTCAGCATCCATCCCCAACCTCAGGCCTCCCAGTGCTCTGACCCGGCCACCTGCGGGCAGCCTGCATCCTGCCGCCACCTCCAGAGTCCCTATCGCAGGCCTTCCATTTTCTGACCACTACGTCCTCCTTTTCCAGCTCACGGAGATCTCTGCCCCTGGCTCCTCTACCTTCTTCCCATCTGGTAGCCCTTTCCTCTCCTCACTCCCCTCCCTACCCAGCTTGGAGTCAGTGACCCAGTGACAGCTTCTTGTCAATAATCTTCCTTGCTCCATTGCCACTCTGTTACCTTCCCCTGACACAGCACCAAATCTGGACAAATCTACACATCTGCTCTCTTCTTGTCTGCCCCAGGGTAGCAACAGTGCGGCCGAAGGTCACACAACTATGCAGAATGGTGCTAGCATAAATTCCTGGATCCTACCCCTTCTCAGCTTCACAAGGACTTCCCTCTTTGTAAATGTCCCTTTCTCTTCTGCATCATTTGGAGCAGTCCCACCAACATTAAAAAAATAAGAAGACTTTCCCTTGACCCCACACCTACTCTCTGCTCCTCTAGTGGGCACAACTCCATGAAAGAGTTGTCTAGACTCACTGTCTCTACTTTTTCTCCTCCCATTCTCTCATACACCCATTCCCATCAGGATTTTAACCCTACCACTCCCTTAAAATCTCTCTCAGCTGATCATTCCATTCTGGAAAAACATGCTTCTCCTGGCTTCCCTGACTCCCCATTTATCTGGAGGTACTGAGGGTTAGGAGCACTGACTCTGGAACTGGAATGTGTGGGTGCAAGTCCAGGCTGTGCCAATTAATAGCTATGTGACCTTGGGCAAGTTTCTCGCCCTATCTGGGTGTCCATTTCTCACCTGTATAGTAGAGGGGAGAATGCCAGCCTCTCCCTCCTGGGGTTGTTGTGAAAGCTACACGGGAGAACTCCTAGAGAACCCTCACACTAGAGCCTGTTACACGGAGAGATGCCCGTGAAATCACCACCTGGATGTTCACGGGGGTCGGGACATGCTATCCCCAAACATGGCACCTTGGCATACTGGATATTTTAGGATGAAGGAGTTTGAGAAAATGGCAGGAAGAAGCAGACCTTTGCCCTCCCTCCCCCTTCCATGTGAAGCAGGTCATAAGACCCTCGTGGGAGAAGCATCCTCCCCCTGCCCAGAGGAAAGGAGCAGCCCCAGTATAACAACACTCAGGGCTGACCACTTCTTTCGGTCTTCATTTCCTTGTGAAGGCTCGGCAGCCAGGGATCCTAAGAGGGTCAAGGAAACCTTTTTCCTCTCCTACAATGTCTAAGGGTTGACTCAAACTGAACGTGTTCAAAGCTTTCGCTTCCTTACCACACACCCTCCAAATGTCCTTTCTCTAGGTCCTTCTTACGTCCATCGGCGGCACCTCCCAGATGTGCAGGCCAAAGGCCTACGTGGCTGGCTAGCTTGATTTTCTTTCCTTCCCTCATCTCCCATGTCCAATCAATCAGCAAGTCGTCACTGCAGCTCTACCTCCAAAATATACTCAGAGCCTGAGCACTTCTAGCCACTTGTAGTGCCGCCAGCAGCCTCGTTCACGTCCTCCCTGACCTCCTAGCTTCTACTCCTGCCCGGCCGCATCTACTCTCCATGAGTCAGCCGGAGCAATCTTCCCCTGTGCTCTCCGTCTGAGTGTTAAGGGGACTCCACTCACCCAGCTGCCCAAGCTAGAAACTGGCGTGCTATTTGAGACTCTTTTTTCCCTTTCCCTCTCTAGGTCTGGTGCCTGCTGTGGCTCTAGCCTCTTCTCCAAACTCTCAAGCTCCAAACTCCCATCGCAATGAAGCCATACTGGACTTCTTGCGGATCCCCACATAAGCCTTTTTCTCTGTCTCCAAACCTTACGCTGAATGAGGTCTGCCTGCCCTGGTTAACTCCTCCTCTGTTCATGTCTCTAGCAGGAAGTCGTCCCTAACCACTAAGACGCAGTTCAGTATGTCTTCCCAGGCTGCCCTTCTGCCTCAGCAGAGTCACTGTCTCCTGCCTCTCTCCTCCCTTCTCCTGCATGTAGGAAACACATCTCATGCTTGCCAGCTCACCCAAATACCTGGCACGGTACTCGAGTGGGCACACAAGAAATATTTGCCAAATGAATGAAGGAAGAGATAAAAGTTCCTTTTGAACGCAGCTCAGTGGGGTGTATGAGCCGGCAGCTGACGCTGGGGGGACTGGCCAGGCGCGAGGACAAGCTGCATCTCCTGCCTCCCACTCCACACCAAATAAACTCCAGATGGCTCAGAAGTTTAATGTAAAAAAGTCAAAACCAGAGAAGCACCAGAAGGAATCCTGGGATAAGGATGGTCTTTCTAAGTATGTCGTGAAAAGCAGAAACCATAAAAGACAGAGAAATTAAAAACTTCTGTCTGGTGAAACCCACCGTAACTGTCCTTAGACACAGTACAGAGGAGGAGGGGTTACTCGTACTGCCCAGACAGCAAAAGGCGTAAGTTTCCTAAATTACAAAAAGGCTCCTTTCAAAGCAAGCAAGAGGAAAACGGACCAGCGAAGAAGGGAAAAGACAGCTCACACAAGGCCCGCCTGAGTCCCCATTAACGTATGAGGGAAATACAAACATTTGACACATCCTCCAGATGTGGAAACATTAATCCTGGATTTACCGCGGGTGTGGGGAAAAGGTCACTCTCCTGCCACTCTGTCTCAGGGGCCCTAGTGGTGGGAGTGTTAATTGTTGTGACCTTCCCGGGATGGTGACCTACAAATCGGTAAAAACAATGATGAGGGCTTCCTTTGATACAGCAGTATTACCATGTGAACATTCTTTTTATTATCTGGCATATATTCAAATGATATATATGTATACTATACAAAATGTGACGCATATGAACATTTACCCACCAGTCAGCACCACTATCTATGCCTTTTGCCCTCTGTCCTGGCTTGGGCTGAAAGACCAACTTCACCGGTTTGTGCCCTTGATCCCATCTCCTGCCGCCCACTAAGGCACATCCTGCTAACATTTCACCCTTTCTCCTGGGTCATCAATGTTCCCTCTTGGCTGGATCATCCTGATCTCTTGGCTTCCAGGACACCTCACTCTCTTGGTTTCCCTCCTGTCTCACTGGCTTCTTTTAAGTTTCCTTTGGGTCCTTCTCGTCACCCCCACTCCACCCAACTTCTTAGCTTTGGAGGGACCCAGAACTCAGTCCTGGGAACTCTTCTCAGTGATACTCATCTCCATGGTCATTTCTATACATCTCATGTTTTAAATACCATGTGAACGCTGGTGACTCCCAGATTTACATCTCCAACTCAGGCCTTTCCCCACAAGTCAAGATTTCTATATCCTAAGGCCTCTTCAGTATCTGTACTTGCATATCTATTAGACGTTGCACTTGCTGTCCCACACCAAACTCCTGAGCGGCCCCTTTACAAACCTGTTTCTCCCACAGTTATCCCCACCAAAGTGGATGGCCATGCTATCCTTCTAGTGCTTTGGGCGAAAAACCTTGGTGTGATCCTTAATTCCTTACTTTCTCTCCGTCCTCACGTCTAATCCATCAGAAAATCCTTCAGCTCCACCTTCCCAGTAGATCTGGAAATCTGGCCACTTCCCATCTCACTATTTGGTAAGTTTTTGTTTTGTTGTTAATAACAGTGCTGCTCTGAATGTTCTTGTACACATCCCTGACCACATGGGCAAGAGATTCTCTAGACAAGCAGTTCTTGAACTTCGGTGGGCATCAGAAACCCCTGGAAGGTTTGTGAAAACCCAGAGTGCTGGATGGACCTCACCCATAGAATTCCATACTTGGTTAGGAATGTATTTGCATTTCTAACAAGATCCCAGGTGATGCTCATGCTACTGGTGGGGAAATCACACTTGGGGATCCACAACTCTAGGGTGTTTTACTCCCAGGAGTGGAAGTGCTGGGTCACAGGATACACACGTTCCACCTGACAGCACTGCCCAATGCTCCACTTGATGTTGTCAAAAGTGTTAATGTTGCCAATGTGCGGACACCAAATGTTAGGTCACTGTACCTTTGAGCTGTATTACTGGCCCCAAAGACTTCACAAGGAGCCCACTCAAGTCGCGCCAGACCTCCTCTGGCTGCAGACCTTTTAGGCCAGAGTCAGGGCCGGTCTTTGGGCTGCCCAGGAGAGAGTTCCTTCCACTTCTGGGTGTTGGATTGAGTCAAGAGCAATGTGTCACCCCCATAAAGCCTGTGGTTGTGGGCTCCCCCACCCTCTGTGCTGGAAGGAGAGGCCAGTCTCCCAGAGGGCCCGGGGAGAAACCATTCACATAGCCAAGTAGCTGACTGACTGTCAGAGGCAGGTAAGCTCCAGGCCTGAGAGTCTTTGTCTCCACTGAGGCACTTTCAAGAAACTTTGCAGAGCCCCTCATGCCCCACCCCACAGACAGCAGGCAGAGCCAGCCTTTAGCTGTCTTTGCACAATTGTGCATTTGGCCACTCTTACCATTTGTATGAGGGTATTTGTGCACAAGTACGAGCACAGTAAATACTTGGTATGTTTTTAAAACAA